ACAACAACAACAACATACATATATATATACACATACATATATATATATATGATAAATAAGAATAAGCAACCAAAAACCAAGATAAATGAATGTAAGAAGGCAAGATTAATAGAGTTTTCTCCTGAGCTTTCACAGAAAGAAACATGAGGTGGGGTTGGGGTGAAGCCAATGCAGGTAAAGTAGGTTGGAAGAGAAAAACAAATACTACAGATTTTGTAAAAGCATAAGGCTCTGTAAGCCAAAAAACCAAACTCACTGCCACTGAGTCGGATCTGACTCATAGTGACCCCTTCTTGGGCTTCTGAGGCAGTATCACTACTGAAGTAGATTGCCCAACCTTTCTTCTGAGGAGTGGCTGGTGGGTTTGAACTGCCACCCTTCTGGTTTGCAGTCAAGTGCCTTAGGCACTATACCACCAGAGTTCCCATGATGCTCTATAGTGCAGCATTAAAAAACAAAAAACAAAAACTCATGTTCATCGAGTGGATTCCAACTCACAGTGACTCCCATTGGGTTTCCAAGGCAGTAAATCTTTATGGAAGTAGATTGCTCAGTCTTCCTTCTGTGGAGGGCTGGTGGGTTTGAACCACCAACCTTCTGGTTACCAGTCAGATGCTTTAGGCACTGTGCTACCAGAGTTCCTTAGCCCAGCACAGATACCCTAAAAATAATGAGAACTAACCTTTCTCCTTCTTTTCCAGTGATTCATGATAATTCTGTGTATGGTAAAATTGGCAATAACCTGTCTGAACTACAAGAATATGAACGATATAATTCATGTTTGAAATGTTTCAATGAAGGAAGGAGGCTAAAAGGTATACAGTGAACAATAAGACTTCCTTTCCTAATAATCTAGTTCCTAGCCCAGTATTTTATATCTTTAGCAATGAAACTTTTAAATTCCAGGCTGGTTTAACCTACTCTTCTCTTAAACTATCTACTTGGATGTTTTAAATAAATATCTCAAAATTAAAGTATCAAACAATGCCCTACATTTTATCCCCCAAACTGTCCCTCTTCCAGGCTCCTCTATCTCAGGCCCCTCCCCTAATTGCTCATATGCAAATCCTAAGAATCATTCCTAACAAGTCTTCTCTACTCATAGTCCTCACCCCTCATCAAATTAATCACCATGCTTAACAGAAGATAACATCCCTATTCCCCCATATAGGCCTGAGTTTGTTGAGAAATTAATACATGTAGGATTCTGATAAGAATAAAATGACCAGCTTTATTAATGGTAAAACTGAATTGTGAAATATGGCTTAGGACAAAGCCTAAACGTTGTTCCCACCTCTAGGCCTGGTCACCTCATAGAGCAAAAGTTGGGTCAGGCTTTAGTCCTTAATTTTACCTCAAAAATATGCCTCTGTTATTCCACTCTTTTGGAGCATTACATTTTGTTTTGCAAGATCAGATGTGTCCCTGTTTCAAACCGTTTTTGAATCTTTGATAAATCTCTTTGTTTTGCCAACTTATATCAAAATATATGTTTCCTATATTTTGACATGGTCTATATATTCATAACTTGTTAGAGGGAATGTGTATAATCTCTTTATGCTAAGACCATGACAAAACTGGTGTTTTTAAGGAGAGAACTAATATTTACAGCACCTACTAATTAATGTTAAATCTTTTGCATATGTTATGTGTGTCACCTCAAACTTCTAAACAAAAAACATCCCCATTTAAAAATGAAAAGTATTTAAGAGACATTCAGAGGAGTTATATAACCCTTCCAATATTACAGTGCTGAAAATAAAGTTTTAACCCAGATCCATAATATTTTAAAGCTCATTCTTTGTGATGAAGTGATGAGCTCTAAAGGATATTTATGTCTATAATTAATAAGAGGCTGTAAATAATAAATAGAAAATTATCATAATTATTTTTGCTAGAAATATAGAGATGTCCATATGTGACCCCAATGAATAATGAAGACGAGTTAAAAGTATTGGTCTGTAAAGTAATTTTGGAGGGTTTAAAGCAGGTGTTGCAAACCTAATACCTGTCGACCAAACCCAACCTATTATCTGTTTTTGTAAATTCAGGTTTATTGGAACACAATCATGCTTATTCATTTATATGGTCTTCATGTACTTTTATGCTGCAGGAGCAGAGTTGAGCAGTTGTGACAGAGGTTTTATAGCCCACAAAGTCTAAAATATTACTATGTGATCCTTTATAGGAAAAGTTTGTTAGCCACTTTAGAGTGAAATGATAAATAGATTATTAAATACACCAGTAAATGAACTCACTTTGGAAAATCATTGTTGTTGTTGTTATGTGCCGTCGAGTCAGACACGACTCATAGTGACCCCGCCTTGGGTTTCTGAGGCAGTATCACTACTGAAGTAGATTGCCCCATCTTCCTTTCGAGGAGTGGCTGGTGGGTTTGAACTGCCAGCCTTCTGATTAGCAGTCAAGTGCCTTAAGCACTATGCTACCAGAGTTGGGATCGTTAATGGAAACTCACTGAAACTTAGTGAGTCTTATAGATTTATATGAAGGATATTCACTCTTAATTTTTTTTCTTTTTTTTGTTATTGTTCTATATTCATTCTGGAAGATTGGCACTGCTGCCCAATCTCCTGGAGTCCATTCCAGTCCAGCTGCTATTTTATTTCTACTGAGTTGAAAAATTGGACTGATAGTGCGAAGAACTGCTCTGAGATGGGAGCTCATCTGATGGTGATCAACACTAAGGATGAGCAGGTATTTTCTTTTTACTTTTTATTTTGTGATTTGAGTGAAGTTTTACAAAAGCACATTAGTTTTAAATTCAACAGTTTGTATACACATTCTGTTTTGTGATACTGGTTACATTCCCTGCAGTATAAAATCTCACCTCCCGCGTCTTCCCTTCCCCTGTATCCTTCCTGCTTCCCGTGCCTCCACACATTTCTCCCTGTGCGGATGCTACCCTTCTGATCTCCCATGGTTGATTGTCCTAAGGAGAAGGAGTGCATCTCCCCAGAGCAGGTGTCCAGGTCGTAGCCCTGTCTATTGTTTGGCTGAGATTTAAGCCACGGGAGTGAGGTCAGTTTTAGGCCCAAGCTGGTATTTTCTTATAGGCAAGTGGTCAATGAGACTTGCTTCTTTCCTTGGCTTAGGAGAAGGACCTTTTTGCTTGTTTGTTTTATTGTTCTGAAATTGGGCACATACAGCAACGATTTGAATAAAATAAATTCTGGAGCAAATTCAGGCAAACAAAATAGTAAATTTGAGAAGTGAGTGGGAAATTGATATTTTCTATTTAAAGAAATATCACAACAATTAAATGTATTAGTCTGTCACACTGTATCCTCTACATCTCTTACTTTCTTTTCAGTATTTTCCATCTTTTTATTTCTGTATATTTATTTCTGTATATTTGAATACTTTCTTCTTTCTAACTTTCCAGTTCACAAACCCTTTCTTCAGTAGTATCTATTCTGCTATTGAATCTATCCATTGATTTCTAGTTTCAGTTATTCGATTTCTTTAATTCTAAAATGTCTTAGTTTCTTCTTCAAATACGCTGTATCAGATTTTACAATGTCCAATTTCTGCTCAAGCTTGTCTTTTATCTCCTTGAACATAATAAGCAACATTGTTTTACAATCTGTCCCAGATAACTGAAATTTCTGGAAGCCCTATGTGTTGGTTTTTACTGATTCTTTTGTCTTTGTGTGCATGGTTATCTTTTATTCTGTGCTGCTATTGTATTTGAAAAATTTATTTATAGAAATAATTACAGGGTTAGGGTATTACCTGCCACATGCCTTGGCACAAGAAGTTCTCCATTATAACTATGCAATTTCAGGGGTTGAAATTTCTATACCCTGCAGCTGATTTCAAGACAGACCTCAATCTATGTGATATCTGGTTTACTTCCTATCCACACTTAACCCTTTCTGGGCAAGGATGTCAAAAACACAACCAACCACTGCTGTGGAGTTGGATCTGACTGATAGTGACCCCTCATTGGGTTTCCGAGGCTGTATCACTATGGAAGTAGATCGCCCAACCTTCCTTCCGAGGAGTGGTTGGTGAGTTTGAACCTCCAGCCTTCTGGGTAACAGTCAAATGCCTTTAGGCACTACACCACCACAGCTCCCAAAGATGCCGAAAGTGATGCTCTATTCTCAACTGCTTCTTCTGGATCAGCAAAATTTCATTGAGTAAAAATGGCCATGAATTCCATGCTTATCTTTATGGATTTTCATTTTCTTCTGCATCTTTGCTTGGTAGCCTCTCACTTTTTTTTTGAGTCCTTTGAGACATTAAGTTTTTTCATACTATATCTAGCTTATTTAGATGACTTTAGCAAGAAGTTTGATCCAAATTATTTAGTCCACCATTGTTGAACGTAGAAGTCCTACTACATTGAACAAACAGCCTAGTAACAACCATTTATATGAAAATGCTTAGAAATAATCAACTACTTCACAAAGAAATACCATGGAGAGTTGTTGTTGTTGTTGTTTGCTGTCGAGTCGGCCCCGACTCATAGCGATCCCTCCTTGGGTTTCCGAGGCAGTATCACTATGGAAGTAGGATTGCCCAACCTTCCTTCCGAGGAGTGGCTGGTGAGTTTGAACCGCCAGCCTTCTGGTGAGCAGTCAAGTGCCATAGGCACTATGCTATCAGAGCTCCCTCCATGGAGAGTAGAGGAAAAAAATAAATTGCAAGGACTCACAGTCAAGAATCAATATGTATATGAAGATAAAGCATCCCTGACATTTTCCAAATAAAAATTAGTATTGCAAAAATTGATTATACATGATGGGGTTTTTGAAGGACTAAAAAAAAAAAAAAAAAAAAACCAGCCAACTTACTGCCATCGAGTTGATTTGACTCATAACAACAGCACTCTCAATTATTATTTTTCAAATTAGGACTATTAAAGGAAACATTAAAAAGCATTAAAAAGGGAAGATAAAAAACAAAAACCTTATTTAATGGTGGAGGTCAAATGGGAAGATGTAAATTAATGTGACCTCAGAACCACCCTGTCTTATATACCCACTGCACCATGATTGGCTCACACTGAGGACACGATGATGATTGAAAAGCAAATAAGGTCTCTTAGTCTCTGTGAGCAGGCTTTTCCTCAAGTTATAATTCTCAAATGTATCAAGATATTTTTACCGGTTTTGCAATATGAGATACTTCCCCCTCTTTGGGCATGCACAAAGAGCAGAGAGAAAACTAAAGATACACTAATTAAAGTACCTTCCAAAATCCAAACTTCTTGCCAAAATCCAAAAAGCAAACCATTGCCATCAGGTTGATTCCAACTCATAGTGACCCCAGAGGACAGAGTAGAACTACCTCATAGGATTTCCAAGGCTGTAATCATAATGCAAGTCGAAGCTGCACTGAAAGAATTGGGGAGAACAGGGCTCCAGGAATGGATGGAATACCCATTAAGATGTTTCAACAAACAGATGCCCCGCTGGAGGCACTCACTCAGGTATGCCAAGAGATTTGGAAGAGAGCTACATGGCCAACTGACTGGAAGAGATACATATTTGTACCCATTCCAAAGAAAGGTGATCCCACAGAATGTGGAAATTATCGAACAATATCATTAATATCACATGCAAGTAAAATCTTACTGAAGATAATTCAAAAATGGTTGCAGCAGTATATTGACAGAGAACTTCCAGAAATGCAAACTGGTTTCAGAAGAGGACGTGGAATGAGGGAAATCATTGCTGATGTCAGATGGATCTTGGCTCAAAGCAAAGAATACCAGAAAGATGTTTACTTGTGTTTTATTGACTATGCAAAAGCATTTGATTGTGTGGATCATAACAAATTGTGGATAACATTGAGAAGAATGGGAATTCCAGAACACTTGATTGTACTCATGAGGAACCTGTACATAGACCAGGAGGCTGTTGTTCAAACAGAAAAAGGGAACACTTCATGGTTTAAAATCAAGAAGGGAGTGGGTCAGGGTTGTCTCCTTTCCCCATACTAATTCAATCTATATGCTGAGCAAATAATCTGAGAAGCTGGACTATATGAAGAAGAACGTGGCATCAGGATTGGAGGAAGACTCATTAACAATCTGTGATACACTGATGACACAACTTTGCTTGGTAAAAGTGAGGATGACTTGAAGCACTTACTGATGAAGATTGAAGAATACAATCTGCAGTATGGATTACATCTCAATATAAAGAAAACAAAAATCCTCACAACTGGACCTATAAGCAGCATTATGATAAATGGAGAAAAGTTTGAAATTGTCAAAGATTTCACATTGCTTGGTTCTACAATTGACGCCAATGAAAGTAGCAGTCAGGACATCAGACGATGTATGGCACTGGGCAAATCAGCTGCAAAGGACCTCTTTCAAGTGCTGAAGAGCAAAGATGTCTCCTTGAGGACTAAGGTGAGCCTGACACAAGTCATGATATTTTTAATCGACTCATATGCATGTGAGAGCTGGACAACAAATAAGGAGGATTGAAGAAGAGTTGATACTTGTGAGCTGTGGTGTTGGTAAAGAATACTGAAAGTACCGTGGACTACTGAAAGAACTAACAAGTCTGTCCTGGAGGAAGTGCAGCCAGAATGCTTCTTGGAGGTGAGAATGGCCAGACTTGGTCTCACATACTTTGGTCATGTTGTCAGAAGGGACCATTCCCTGGAGAAGGATGTCATGCTTGGTAAGTTGGACGGTCAACAAAGGAGGGGAAGGCCCTCAGCGAGATGGATTGACATGGTGGCAGCAGTGATAGGCTCAAGTATAGCAAGAATCATGGAGCTGCCTCAGGACCGGGCACTGTTTCGTTCTGCTGTGCATAGGGTCACTATGAGTCGGAGATGACTCGATGGCACCTAACAACAACAACAATCTTTATGGAAGATCTGTCACATATTTCTCCCACAGAGTGGCTTGTGAGTTTGAATCAACAACTTTTCAGTTAGCAGCCAAGTGCTTTAACCACTGCTCCACCAGGGCTCCATGAACTTCCTTCACGAGAAGAAATATTTCCCACTAACATGTACAACCTTGAAAAATCCTGTGGCTTGGCAAAGGAATAGGAATAGGGAATGAGAGTTCATTATAATCATGGATATAACTTGCTCCCATATGTGCTGAGAACCAAGCTTACAAGCGATGTCTTTGATCCTGTCCTGTTCAACCAGGGAAAGATCTATGCTCCTAGGCAGGGACCACTTATGGCTGTTCCTGGTGGCTCTTTTAATCTTCTCCTCCTCTGTGTAGCTCTGGTAGCATAGTGGCTAAAGCACTTGACTGCTAACCAGAAGGCTGGCGGTTCAAACCCACCAGCCACTCCTCGGAAGGAAGGTTGGGCA